GCACCATCTTCCAAAAGCTGCACGTGCCGACATGGGGAAGGAACGTATGTTTTTCTTAATTGTTTTATTATCTGTTCTTAAAACGTTAGTTTTCGCGGACCATTTAACCATGTTGTGATCTGATGAGCCGAGCGGTGCTATAATCACAGGCTTAGAATACAAGGCATCTAGATTAGTAACAATTAGATCCAAGATGTTACCTTCACGCGTTGGGGTGTCCACTATTTGCGTAAGATTGTGATGGCACAGGAGATCGCTGATATCTAAATTGTTGAAATCACCGAGTAAGACAACACCGCAGTCGGGGTGGGTACATCTAACTCGGTCAATCTGATCGATAAGATAGGCCGTTAATTCCTTTTGCTCATTGACTGGTGTATCAGGCGGGTTATATAGGACACAGCAGATTAATCCAGTTAGGTGTCTTGGGAGGCGGTGGGGTCGCAGCCATAACCATAAGCATTCATGAGAGGGGTTTTCAAGGTCCATTCTTCTTTTAGCTGGGATATTTGTCGAGATGAAAGCGCAGACACCCCCACCACGGCTGTAAGATCTATCATTGCGAAAAATGTTGTAATTATTTATGTAAATTAGTTGCTCAGGAACAGTATCTTTGAGCCACGTTTCAGTTACAGCAATAAACTCTATAGAATGTGTCGATAGTAAGAGGGATAGCTCGTCTATTTTGGGTAACAGTGAGCGAGCATTTATAAGAAGAAAACTCGGTAATCTTGATATGTTGTTTCGGTTCATAGCCTGGTCATGTATTGAAATACTGACTAATTTCAGTTGTCTATGATTATTAATGTAGTTAACGACGGTTTTTGAACGGTTGTTAGTAATTCTCACAGGGATCTTGCGAGTATTAGCGACAGGGATTATACCAGTGTTTCTGCATACCGTGCCCTGCAATAGGGGGGAATTTGGAAGGTGTAAGGAGGGCATAAAGGGGTTTCCATTAGTGGTTTCGGGGGAGATTGAAAAAACCCCGGTCCATTGGGGTGCCATTGAACGCTTTGATTGTAACCGATAACCAGCTTTTATTACTCCGGGTACTGTAAGTACCGGAGTATTAAAATGTCAGATCTTTTTTCTTAGGCGACACAAGTGTGCACTTCCACAGGTGCACCGTACGCAACGCACGCGACGCACTACAAAAATTACGAAATATCTAAAAATAGCCGCCAGTCGTAGTAGATCGGAGCGAGCGTTGTGTTTACAATGTATTTTGTTCTATTTACAGTAAATATTATCAAATGGAGCGGTTCTCATACACTTGTTTTTATACAGTGACCACAGTTCATAATACAAATCGAAATTCGAGACTTTCTCGCGTGTCTAATAGCGGTTGCCGTTATTACAAAGCTAGTTCTGAATTTCTGATCATAGTTAATTAACTATGTTCTGATCGACAAATGGCTTGGTTCGTTACAACTAACAATATATTACTTTTTAAATAATTTTCTTTGCGTGTTTGATAAATGTGGTTTGTTTAAGTTAGCTATTTTTAGTAATTCAGTTTCAGGAGTTCTTCTCGAGGGTCAAGGGTGGGAAGTCGAGGGTCGAAAAATCATATATAAAAAGACTAAAAAGTCGAGGGTCATATTAAAAAGTTGAGGGTCATATATAAAAAGTCCGGGGTCGTATTTCTAAAATATTTTATGGTTTTTATTGTCGAGGGTAGAAATTTGCGGGCAAAATAATTTGCTTAATGTTGTGACATAGACTTTATATCAGCAGCCATCGGCATTGGCAATGGCAAGGTTTAAACAAGTCCTGATTACTCTGATTCAATAGACCATATAGTGAATAGACAATACAATAATTTACGACATGCAATGCGAGACAACACAGATAATGCACCATACGCCGCCACTTGATCGGCATGTCTATTTTTATGTAGAAATATTTTATCATATAAAAAGTAATCGCATATAAAAAAATAATAATTGCATATAAAATAAGAGCTAAAAATTAAAAGTAAAGTAAATGAACACGAGCTAAAATTATTTTGTTAAATTATTAAAATGTACCCTCAAGCTTTTCACCCTCGAATTTCTACTCTCGACAATAAAAAAAACCCATAAAATATTTGTAAAATACGACCTCTGGCTTTTTATATACGGCTCGATAAAACACTCCTACGCATGTTTTAAATAGAACTTAAAGAACTAGATAGATTTTATTAGAGATAATCAGTGTCACAATGTCCTTTTATTTTTATGTTATAAAATATTATGATCATTGCTTATGTTTTGAGTTACTTGGTGAAGTGGTTACACTGTAGTTCTCCCATTTTTCCAACTTTAATATGCCAAATATCATGCACTAAAGATATCCTTCATTGTTATATAAGCATACGTTAAAGTAGCTTTGCGCTTAGTTTAAGGCCCTGTACCCGGAGTGAACGCCTGAGTAGGCGTCTTGTTGATTAAGAATCGGGATATGAATTACGTGCATGGAGGCTAGGTCCTCTAGATCGAACAACTGCAACGGGTAAAACGTTGGAATAAGATCTTTGTTTATTGGCTTTAAAACTTTCGTCGAATTCAGAGTGGATTTAATAAAACCAATTTTCTATTAACTTAAGACAAAGGCGTCAACATAAAAAAGCCTATTTATCGACTGTTCGAACTTATATTAAGATGTATCACAAAATGTTGTTCAGGAAAGACTCTTTCAAAATTCCCTGTAACCTTAATTTCATTTTCGAAGCTTTCTCAAAATACAAAATAGATCACTAAGTTTACCTGATATAGTTGGCTTCATTTTATGAATCCTCTCTAACTGAGCATTGGATAAAAGTGCCTTGAGATCTGCGCCACTAAAACTCTCTGTTTCTTTGGCAATTTCTTCAAGATCTACGTCTGTGTCAAGATCGAGTTTCGAGGATAGTGCTTGTAGAATTTCTAGTCTGGACATCTGCAAGAAATTATAAATTCAATTTTCTAGACTTTATTAAAGCGAGATTCCAAAATACTCAGCCCAATGACAAAGTGCCCATCAGGCCATCACCAAAATAAGATAATTTTCATCATTACACAATGCACATGGTCGTCAAATGGTAAAATATTTGTGATTACGTCACAGAAGGCTAGGCATTTTAGGCATAACATTCACATAGGGATTCATAGGGATTAGTTTTAAAACTTTTGAATTATCAGTAATAGACACTTAGTATAGGTAATCGCATGGGGCCGAGTAAAATTAAGGTTTAATTTCACGCGTATTTTCAAAGTTTCACAAATTGCCAAGTTTGCATGTAATTTGTGAAACTTTGAAAACACGAGTGAAATTAAACCTTAATTTTACGAGGAACTATGCGATTAGTTGTTAATCATAGAGGGCAAAATTTATAATTTATTCGTAAGTTAGTTGTGAACTTGTCAAGTTCTTGAACCTCGTATGTCTCCATGTCTTCGTCGATGTTCCTTAATACTCCCATCTCTTAAATACTCCAATCAATAAATTTTTACTTTTTCTAGTGACTAGAAGTTTTTAATTCTTCAGTAACATCATTATCCGCAACGACAAAGCGAGAAACCATTGTTTTTATTGCTATTTAAAACAAGAAACTTCCCGCCCTTGCGCTTCAGCCAATCAAGTACAAGTAATTTTGCCCTGAATTAATTAAGAAAAAATGCCCTCCTCATTAGCCAATCATATTTGAGTAATTTTGCCCTCTATATGATTAAAATATATGCCGTGTAAAAATATTCACCTCATCCGGCATGCCACAATACAGTGATTTATCCAAACGTCCAGGTCGTAATAATGCTGGATCAATAAGATCCGGTCTACTAGTTGCTCCCAGTATATAAACACCATCTAAACCTTCAACACCATCAAGTTGTGTTAACAGTTGATTCACCACTCTATCTGTAACACCGGTACTGTCATGGCCACGTCTTGGTGCCATCGAATCAAATTCATCAAAGAATAAAATACATGGTTTCGCACTTTGAGCTCTAAGAAAAGAAAGGAAACAAATATTGCGCAATGTAAGACATGTCTATTTCGCACTATGGGAAAACGAATTCAGGATTGCGCAAACAGATAAATATCTCTCCAGTAAACTAAAGTCCGGTTCAAACATTGCCATTGGCCTTTGAACACGTTGATTAAAATTGGAAGATGTTGGATTGGGTAACAATTTAACGGGTTGAAATTATAAATTTGTTCCATAATATCACTATGGTGACATAGCCTTAGCATAACATGAATATCATATTCAGTCACCATCCAGTGATCAAAATGTTTCGTTTTGAAAATTCCCACAGTTCTTCATGCCTGATCATTAGTATTTAAGTTATAGAGTATTTAAGTTCTTTGTAGGTTTGCATGGCGATAAAACATAATACTTTTGTTTTTGGAAACACCACGTAAATTTATTACTTGCAGTAATAAATTTACGTGGTGTTTCCACAAACAAAAGTATTATATAGAGTATTTCTTGGTTTATTTTCGAAGTTCGGAGACGTTTGACCAGGATTTTCAAAAAAACCATTGCAGCATATTTTCACGTCTTTCCAGTCACGGTAAAACTTCATTAATATCAGTCGTAATATTAATGAATTATATAATGAGGCCACGTATGTATTCTGGCACATCGTCCTACAATTCTTTATAAAAGCTGAATTGCATTTGGTCATTAGAGACTACCTCTCACTGTCTTAGTACGCACCTGATTGGTTAATCAGATATATCAAACGCATCTGATTGGTTAATGGCGGTAGTGGAAGATAAAGCTTAATGGTAATTTTACAATTACAATTACAATTACAATTACAATTACAATTACAACTTGAAGTCGCTTTTCACTTGCTCAGATTGTTCATTCTCTGATGTGGGAAGAGAGTATCCCACAAATAGTGGATATAGGTCAGCATGATAAAGTTACGACGAAAGAACGACAAAAACAGATAGACAAAAGTTATTGCATATAGGCGACAATGATTCACAAGACATTTGATCGCGAAGAACCGAGAGCAAATATCTTAGCAAATGTCTCATTTATTCCCATGCCAACTGACCTACCTGTGAAATAAATCTCGTACAGCTTGTTCACTTGCTCCTATATATTTATTCAGCAACTCAGGTCCTTTGATGCTGATAAAATTCAGCGAACATTCCCTGGCTACCACACCAGCCAGCATCGTTTTACCACATCCTGGCGGTCCGTACAGTAAGATACCCGATGGTAATCTCATGGGTACACTGTTGTAAAGTTCTGGGTACTAATAACAAAGAAATATTGGATATTTAAAGTTGTGGTTTAGATTGAATAATAGTTAATTTAGTTTAGTTTAGTTTAGTTTAGTTTAGTTTAGTTTAGTTGAAGATGGTATATTACACAATTAATGTTTATGAGTGCAATGGTATATATTTTCATAAGGTGAAAGAGAATATTTTCATGAGGTGAAAGATGGAATGTTCCATTCAACGAGGCGACAGCCGAGTTGAGTGGAACTTCCATTTTTCACCGAACGTATTCCATTGGACTCTTGGGAAATGGAATTTTCTATTCGATATCACGTGACCATAAACAGCCAATTAAACGATCAGAATTCAATAAGGTTTATATAATTTGTATTATAGTCTAGTCCTGTTTGAGTATTTTTCCTACAGTGCACTAACTCATCGCTACGCTTGTTGTAAAGTTTCTGATACTATAGCAGCAAAGAAATGTTGCAAATTTAAAAATGTTATTTTTATTTATAGTCTACCAAGTCCTGGACCAAAAAGGGATTGTCTTTTCCTCGGGGTTCTCCCCCTTCAAGGAAAATGAAGTATATTCAAATTAGCATAGTCTCATTTTCCTTAAGTCATGAACATGCAAAATACATACCTTAGCTGGCCATTCTAATGTTTCCTTTAATGTTTGTTTAATATCGTTTAAACCACCAACATCCTGCCATGTTAAGTCACTGCCTTGATGAAGTTTGATACCATGTAAACTGGCTGGCTTGAAACACTTGAGAGCATTGTTGAAATCTTCCAAACATATCGGAGGAGATTCTAAAGAATAAAGTTAAATTATAAAGAACATGGGCATATTTTTTCTTTTTTGTGTGTTCTTCTTTATGGTTCTAGGACAGTTCCCACGGCATATATCTTCATTGACAATACTGTTGGACAGAGAGGGTCTCGAACGGTGAAGCGTAAATGAGAGTTAGCGAAAAATTATCTTTAGTTATACGACAAGGAAAAGGCAGAGATGGATTGGTCAAATTCTCCGTCACGTTGCTAAGAGGAAAGATTAGAAGGAAGAGGAAAGATGAGAGGGAAGATGAAAGATGAGAGGGAAGACGAAATATAAGAGGAAGGACGAAAGGGAAGAGGAAAGATGAGAAGAAAAAGGAAAGACAAGAAGGAAATGGAAGATGAGAGGGAAGTAGAAAGATGAGAGGGAAGATGAAAGATAAGAGGAAGGACGAAAGGGAAGAGGAAAGATGAGAAGAGGAAAGATGAGAAGAGGAAAGACAAGAAGGAAATGGAAGATGAGAGGGAAGTGGAAAGATGAGAGGAAAGATGAAAGATAAGAAGAGGAAGGATGAGAAGGAAGAGGAAGGATGAGAAGGAAGAGGAAAGATGAGAGGAAAGATAAGAAGAGGAAGGATGAGAAGGAAGAGGAAAGATGAGAGATTTTATATACAATCGGCCCCAGTTCTAGTTTTTATGTTACGCAAAGTGTTTAAACAACCCGACTTTTTTGGCACACCTGGTAGGGTAAACATTTCTGGTATATGTTTAATCACAAGTTCAACTGGCTTATTATAAGTTTATAAAAAGGTTTAAAATGCTCGCACCTTCTCGCCCACTATAACTTTGTCTCAATGCGCTAGATTGTAAAGCTCTTGCCACTAAAGTATTTAAATCTTTTGGTGAACATCCTTCAGTCTTCACAGCAATTTTCCTATAATGAACAGCAAAATTATAGAAAATATCACACAGTCGACAAACTCACTATTATTTCATACAGACAACAGTATAGCATAGTTAATTACAAAGTCAAAACAATTCGTACGTATTTACTTCTCCCCAAACACACCAATAGCAATATTTTCGCTATCTTTGAAAACATGTTTCACAAACCTTGGCTAAACTAGATAACGATTTACATTGTAGTACCACTGAGTACTTTTTAACCATGTATAGATACTGGAGTATGCATACCTGAGTTCATCATCTGATAAAGACAAATCTTTCCTGTTCAATATTGTGTAGATCATGTTTGTACGTTGATCAAGACTGGGTAAAGGTATCTCAACAGACTTACAAAACACATGATTGCCATGACTTGTCAGTAACGTTGGATGCATGGAATCACGTGATGTTGCTGTTGCTATGACAACCACTTTGCTATTGTACGTGATTTCTTTCCTCAAAAAGGTCTTGAAAACTGAAACGTTGGATGGAACGTGAATGAAGGAATGATGTGGTAAAGCATTGAGACTACGTTTTCAAGGCCATTTTAGTCTTGGTGGAGTGCATGTTTTGTTAACTTACGCGAGATTTAATGCACATGACTTATAACTTATTAATAATATATATGAAAAAACTTTAATAAGATGAAAAACATATTTTCAAGTTCTGTGCAGTGGCGTAGGCAGCCCGACGATTCAGTGTGCAAATATTGCCATGTTTATAAAATATCAACACAATCAATTTCTAAAGAAATGAATAATGATGAGTTGAAATTTGCATAGCAGGACTAAATCGTTGGGCTGGCTACGCCACTGGTTCTGTGTAAATAGAATGGCCAATACTTTAAAAGAGAACGTTTTTCTATCAAAGATGAGTTTTGCACAGAATAAAAAACCCTGAAAACTCACTGTACCGAGTGACTTTTTATCACTGAATTATAATTTGGAAATTCTATTGCACTGCTCCCAGTCAATCACAATTGAGACATTCTGCATGCATAATATCACTCATGACATCCTACCTTGAGCTAAACGTAGACTATAATGCGCCTCAGGACCATTTTCTTGCAGTAACGAAGGAGCGGAAATAAGTTGATCGAGATCATCAAATAAAATAACAGCAGGTTGATGCCATGCTGCATTATTAAATATTTGTTGCCAAGATTTCCTGATTGTATCCACTCGTTTGCCTAAGTGATGTAATTGATAATATTTTAATGATGCAAACAGTAGAACCACATAAGATAATTATGCAGATCGTCTAATTTCAATGGCTGCTAAATAATCTAATTGGCAAGTTCTTAGTTCAGGAACATATGAGAATTGACTTATTTACTTGACTTTTTTTGATAGCCTGCACCATAGACGCTATTATAACCGTAG